CATTCACTTTCATACAAAATGAAAGTCCCCCTAACAATGTTATCTCAAGAGATTCATCGAAACCCAGTTTCTCTTCGTAACTATCTACTCCAACCTGAGTGTGATCGCCTTTTGTGAGGCAAGGATAAGTGAAATTCAATCAAATATCACTCCTTAAAGCACCTTGAGCGATTTAAGATGACTTAATGTTAGTATGAAGTGTATTCACCCTTTTCGTTTAAGGCGATGAAGAACTGGAACTTGCATTGTTCCCACATTGCTATGAGTAAGCCTTAAGTTTTTGTTGAATCTCGCTAGCATTGCTTCCTCCAAAGTATTCTAATATCGCATTCTGTCGTGGGATTTCTGATAAAGCAAAGTTATATTTGCTATATCAATCGAATACATTACATACTTTTCGTTTATAAATAGGTTTTCGAGATTACCATTATATCATATATATATATATATATATAAATAAATAAGATATATTCACCCTTATAAATGTATCTCATGGCAATATGATCTACTGGTAGTCTCGAAAGCCTACTTATGAAACAAAAAATAACTAATAATGGTTTCTAAACCTACTTCTATCTGATTGTGAATGCAACCCAACTTTCCTCAGATTACGTTAATCTTTATTTATTGGTTAAGTCCTTTTTAGAAATCTGTTTCTCTTGCCATTTAATTTTTAATATCCTCCTTGCAAGCCAACACACGACACATGATGCACGAGTAGATTTAACCAATCGCCTATAGAAAGCCACTTTAGCTATTATTTCATCCCTCTTTTAACCAGTTGGTCGGCAAGACGCACGATCTGAACCTGCACATACAGGCGGTGATTGACCTCCTCCCGTCAGTCCTCTCGATCCTTGGTCCAGTCACTGGCGTGGGTCGCCAGCATCATCGTTCCCGGACTGCTGGTAGCCTGACCGACAGCTCGGACGACGATGGTTGTAGCCTGATCAGTCGTCATTTAGCCGATTCGGAGTTGGATCGGTTCGAGGATTCGTCGATGATGAGTGGTGATCGGACCTCGCCACCGATGTTCGGCCGCAAGAGTGATGAGGTGGACGACTGGGAAACGGGCCAAGACGGTATAAAAGTTGGCAGTGGACGAGCCTGGAAGAGCGGAAGGGGGCGAAGGCAAGGCGGAGCTGGCGAAAGGAGCCTGGCCGGCATTCGAGGCAATTCTGACTTCCTTCTTCTCTGTCGTGACCAGATGGCAGATTGTACTGGCGTCAACTGGCTCAGGCGTCGATGTAAAGTGTTGGCGAAGCAAGCTAATTCGATTTCACACATCGTGTATTCATTGTAAGCATTGGTAGACTTTTTACAGTTGATTCGAAAAAAAGTTGGGTTTCGAGGAAGCTCTTTGTTGATTAATGCTTAGCTCATTCCCAATTCAAATGAAAATATGTAATGATGAGATTGAAGGTCCTAAACATTGTGCACTCCCGTTCTCTTGACTTTCCACGGTATATTATTTATCGTGATGAGCTTTCTCAGACAAAATATCCTTGGAAGTGTTGTGCAACGAGGCCACACCATCTTGTTCTTTATATCTTTAGAATATCCTTGGTATAGCAGGGGTTTAACCTCGAATTCGAAAATTGGTCGTCTTTCCAGGTCGGCCTAGGTGACGCACCT